TCCTTAGCCTGCGTGGCTGGTTTCCCGTCACCGGGGTTCTAGCCGTGCAGGTGGGGGCCGCGTGTGCTCAGGTTCGTGCCCAGCAGACTGAGCGACTCTGTCTCTGCCTAGATCAAGGTGTTCTACCAGGAGCACCTGCACCTGGACGAGGAGATCCGCTACATCCTGGAGGGCAGCGGGTACTTTGACGTCCGGGACAGGGAGGACCAGTGGATCCGCATTTCCATGGAGAAGGGAGACATGATCACTCTTCCCGCCGGCATCTATCACCGCTTCACGCTGGACGAGAAGGTAGGATCTGCTAACCTCAGTCTGCGTCTGCCTGCGCTGGACGTTGGAGCTGGCCGGGTGCCCCCGACAGTGCGCTCCTGCCGGCCGTGCCACTGAGACTGATGAGGGAGCGTGGGTGGCGCAGCTCACGACCTGGCAGCTCACGCTCAGGGGCAAGGCAGCGGCCTGCCTGGGGCCGTGTGTGGGCCGCCCACAGAGCGCAGAGGGGTTCCAGTGCCCTTTCTCGTTGTGTAGGGCCGGTGGCCGGGAGGCACCCGCAGGGTGGGACTCCTGTGGGTTTGGATGTTAACAGTGGAGATGCAGCCGTCCTGTTGCCGGGTGTAGAAATGAGCACCCTGCGCGCGGGTGTGATCTGGGCTAGGCCTGAGGGCTAGCATGGTCTTTAACAGATAATAAGTGCATACAGCTTGAAGTTCTGAGTTAGGAAACCAGAGAGTCTCCCCCTGTGCCCTGGTCCCAGTTCCCAAGTCCCCTCCCTGAGGATGGCTGCGTCACATCTCAAAGTGCCTTTTTAGAGAGGTTTTCTACGTATTCCAGTGAATGGGGTCGGGGTCCTTTTCCCTTCTCTGCCCGGTTCTGCGTGTGCTCTGTTCCGCTGACGCACCGGGGAGGGTGGTCCTCCACCCGCATGTTTGTTTGCACTCTTGGCTGCACATGCTCCGCGGTTGGACGAGCCCTGTGCGTTTACCCACTGGTTCATTTCACTGAGTGGGTGGCCTCTGTGGAGGGCGTGTGATTGTTTCCACCTTTGATTCTCTGAGGAGTGCTATCCCGAGTGACACCGCACAGGTGTAGTTGCACTGAAGTGAGTTCACCTGCCGCGCACACCTCTAACCGTGCGCCCTGCGTTAGCAGGCGGGCATGTTCCAGTTTGGATGGGTGGTGCCAGCTGTCCTCTGCCCAGCCAGCAGCATGGGGCCCCAGTGCTGACTCGTGGGGAGGCTGTGTCCATGGGGCAGAGAGCAAGGGATGGTGCTAGTGTCCACCACTGGTCTGTTTCCAGGCTTCAGCTGCAGAGGCTTCCACCCACGACCACGGGAGCCTTCTGCATAGGGTGGCCACTTAGGCAGAGGGTCCAGGGTGGGATGAGCATCGAGCGGCAGTAGGACAGCTGTGAGGGCGTCTTGTTAACGTGGGAATATGTGAGAGGCGATGGGTCAAATGAGATGTGGTGTCTGTCTGTCCCCAGAACTACGTGAAGGCCATGCGGCTGTTTGTGGGAGAACCAGTGTGGACAGCATACAACCGGCCGGCCGACCATTTCCCCGCCCGGGAGCAGTACGTGAGGTTCCTGGCCCAGACGGCCTAGCGCACCGCACCCGGAGCAGCTCGCCTGCAGGCTCTGTGCAGCGCCCTGAGAGCCACCTCCTCGCTTTGCTTTCATGCAGTGGACGGCAGCTGTCCTTCCTTTGCAGACACCTGATCAGAGTACTTATAATGAATGGAGCTGGGAATCGATTTCTCGTGGACATGAATGAAGTTGAGAGCCCCCGATTCCCTCTGATCGATCCTGCTATGTGCAAGAGTCTGGCGGGCAGCGCAGTCATCCGTGACAGAACACAGGAGTCAGCTCCTGGGGGGTCGCTGCCCCTGGTCAGCTGACACCGGTCAGCCTGAGTGCTGTGCACAGGAGCAGTCCTAGAGACAGGCAGCCGGAGGGAGGCGAGGCGCTGTCCGCCCGGGGCACATGGGCTGGGAAGAGCTCTGGCTGGTGTGCCTTGGGCTGCCTGTGTCCCCTCCTGTTGGGAATAAAGTGCCTTGACCTCATGCAGGGGCTTGGAGTTGCCTCTGAGTGCCTGTGGGTTTGCCTGGCTCATGAGCGTGCATTTGAATTCGCTGTGAGGCGCTGGGTGTGTGTGGTTAGCTCACAGACTGACCGTGTTGGTGTTTTCCAGTGTGAGGCTTCTAGGTTCCGCCAGCTCTGAGATCCCGATCACGGAGACCCCGCAGTCTCCCTGTGGTTGGAACATGGTGGCTCATCCTGAGCTCCTGTTTTAACTGGAGGCGGACTTCGTGCCCATCACCCTTCATCACCTGCACCTGGTGTGGGGCTCGCTCGAGCTGTAGCTGGGTTTCCGTGGCCAGAACCAGGGCTGGTCTGCTGGAGCTGTTTCTGTGGATGGATTTCTAATGGTCATCGTACATGGGACATGTTTTCCTCCTGTCCTCTGTGGCTCCTCAGGCTTCGGGAGGACGGAGGCGGGTGGCAGACTTCTGCCAGCCCTAGGAGCCAGCGGCCCCGTGAGCCTGGTCACATCTCACTTTCCCCTGTGTCTGCGTTGTCACAGTGCACTCGGGCAGGCTACAGCTGTGTGACACGCCCTCAGTCAGGGGTTCTGGGCAGTCTCACCAGCCAGGAGGTGCCCGTCCTCCCTGCCCCTCCCTGCCCATGCCAGCCACGCCAGGGAGTGTTCCAGAATCTGTGGAAGTAGAGTCTCGGGTAAGGGTCTCCGACTGGCTTCCTGCGTTCCTGCTTCTTCAGTGCAGCCCTGTGTGCGGCTCAGATGCTGCTGCTTGTCTTTCCCCCGAGAGGCACCTCGCGGTGTGGCCCAGGCTGGCCTCGAACTCCCGTGCTCACACGCGCCTCCTGCCTCAGCCTCCCAAGGAGCCGGACTGCAGGCTCCACCACTGAGCCCAGCGGGACGTTCAGAGCACTCGGCTGAAGCCTCCCGAAGCAGGGAGTCGCTGTCTCGCCGAGCTCAGTGTCTGGGTCTCCTCTGAAGCTGTCTTGCAGCAGTCTGTCTCTGGTTCCTTCACACCCCCTCTCAGGTGCCACGAAACGCACCTGCAGCTCGAGTTGCCTCCGCGTGGCTGGCGGTGTTCCTGAGACCCAGCCCCAAGTCCCAGTGGAGCCACTGCTGGTTGTCTCATGCGAGGCTGCCCCTCTGGAAGGACACCAGGCTTGCTGAGCAGGGCGCATCTGGACAGGTGTTGGTCAGTGCACCTGTTGGAAGGTACGCAGCGTTTGTGCCTGGGCTGTGCTCAGGGTGTGGCCTTGGGCAGGTCTCTTTGCATTTTAGAGGAGTGCGCAGGCCGGCTGGGCAGGGCGGCGGCAGTGGGCCCTGCAGTGCTGTCTGGGAAGCCCAGGTGCTGGGCAAGTGCACCTTGCCTCTGGGAAGCCCTGCCTTCCCAGCCCTTTGTCTCTGCCGTCCGCCGCTGCCTCGCCTGGCCTGCCCTTGCAAAGTGAGCAGGACGTCCCATCTCTCTGCTCTTCACTCCTTGCTGTCCGCTTCTTCCTCCTTATTGGTCAGAATAGAAGCTGGAGACGAAGTAGCAGGTATTCTGCTGTCCCAAGAAGCTGCTGCTGTGGACACATGGTCGACTCAGCCAGATGCCTCAGTGATTGTCACTGTGGGAGTTCATTAAAAATGGCAGTAACCCAGGCTGGTAGCACACACTGGTCACAACTTAGGAGGCTGAGTCAGGAGGATGGCAAGTGGAGGGTAGCCTCAGCAACCGAGTGAGACTTGTGGTGGAGCGCTTGCCTGCGTGCTGCCTGAGGCCCCAGGGTCCATCCCAGCCCCTGACAAAGGCAAAAACAACATAAAGGAGCAGGGAAGCACTCCCTGTCACTGTGAAGCCCAACTCCCCGCTCCCAGAAGGTCGCACAGGCCTCTTGCAGCTGTGGAGCGGAGGTGGGGGTCTTGGAAGCCGGAGCAAGGGTGGGAGCCGGAGAGAGCTGCAGTCTAGGCACTGCACACCCACGGACCCACAGCCGCCGAATTCAGAACTTGCATTAAAGATCTTTAAAATAAAAGTGTGGATCTGGGCAAACGGAGGCGCTCACTGTGTCCAGGTGCACCGCTCACGTCCCGCTTGTGATCAGTCATGTGGCTTCTGGTGGGATTCACAAACGCTCTCGGGGCTCCCACGCTGGCCCCTGTGCCCACCAGCACTGCTCTCCTCCTGGCCCCTGTGGAGCCCACCCGTCTTTAGCCCAACTGGCTATTCCTTGGACTTGGAGGAAATAGTCTTTTTTAAGTCCAAAAGTCTGTGAGCCATATAGCGTTTCAGCTTTCTCAGAAGTAGTCGGTCCTCTCAGGACGGTGTGGATTGCAGCTTTCTGACAGTAGAATTGCAGACCTGTGCTGGGCAGTGCCAGCCTGAGTCCTGGCAGGCTGCTGGCCTGCAGGAAGCACACTTGTCCCAGGTAGGTGGTGGTGCCCTGCCCTGCTCTGGCAGCCGTCCACCTGTCCCCACACTGCTGTCTGTGAGCTCTGGACAGTGTCCTGGGGCTGAGGACCAGGGATAGTGTGCAGGGCATGTGGCCGTCTGTGGCCTCCTACCTTCTCCCAGGAGGCAGGTGATCAGTCACCTTGGAATCCCAGTGCCTCTCCAGGGAGGTGACCTACTTCTGTGGGTGGGGCTGTTTTTTCCTAATTACATGGCAAAGTCTGCAGCACCAGACATTTTTCATTTTCTTTGCTTTGGGTTCTTATTAAACCCAGGGCCTCGTGTGCTGAGCATGCACTCTGCCACTGAGCTGCACCCCAGCCGACATTTCATTCTAAAAATATGACTTTGACGACTGAAGTGAAGCCCTTTAGCTTATACAAGGCTCACCCGGTGGTTTGCAAAGTGCAGAGCTCTGTCCTGTAGACTGGCGCTCTGACGCAACCTGAAGGCAAAACTCATCACCTGTGATGGACAGGCGACAGTGGGACTGGGAGTAATTTGCCAGGATCAGGGTTTTGCACATTTCCCAGAGCCTGGCGTGTGGTGGGATTCAGTATGACTTGGGTGGTGGGTAGGGGCCACTGAGGGTGGGAGGGTGGGTGTGTGGGTGGGCAGGTGCATGTCTGATGAATCTGTTTCTTGCCGTGCAGATTTAGAATATTAAGTTCAGATATGATCTTGAAAAGTCTTTTTTTTTAAAATCTGCTTTCTATTGGAAGTGTGTCATGTTTTAGAAAGCTCACTTAGTTTTATGATTTACACAAGGAAAACTTAATTCCAGGACGTTTAAACATCCACTGTTCTAGAGCTGTCAGGAGGATGGAGGGAGCAGAACGTTTGGCCTGGTGCTGTGCTCGGCCCCGAGGGCTCATCATCCTTGAGGCCTGCAGCGGGGTTTAGAGCGTCTCCAGGAAAAACCACCAAAGGTAGAAAGTGAGAGGCAGCCATGGCCGTCTGCCTGTCAGAGGGACCCAGCGCTCGGCGGGGACTCCACTGAGGTGCTGCTCTGCACCCACCTCTTTGCCTGCCAAGTCCCACGGGGTGCCATGGCCCTGCTCCTTGGCCTGGAGACAGCCGAGGACCCTGCTGGAAGGGGCTCTTGGAGCGGTGGTGTGTGCCCTGATTGCCCTGCACTTTCTGAATCCAGAGTGAGGACTTAGGCCCATGGCACTTTCTGGGACAGAAGAGAGCCATTTGTCACCATGGTATCAGGGAGAGGTCCAGGTGTGTGACACTGTTGAGGCCACCCATGGAAGCCCCGAGCCCAGCCCAGGTGCTTGGCCCTGCCCACCAGCCTTCCCAGATGCCTCAGGTTGTTCTCCCCTCATTCCCTGGTCAGGTCCCTTTGTGGCTGTTCATTCACTGAGCATTTGCCTCTGGAGAGCTGGCACCAGGCTGGGAGTGCAGCTGGGTACAGTGGCTGCAGCGCGAGTCACCTTGGGAGTCATCTGCATGCCCCACAGGCACCCAGTACAGAGCAGAAGCAGATACACAGTGGGCTCCTGGGCAGGACAGGACCTTTAACCTTGCCACTGTGCTTCTCCTATAGGGACAAGCAAGGCCTCGGTGCCCTTGTTGGGTTGAGAGTGGACACCGTCAGGTTTTCCTGCAGTTGGTCTTCATTCTTCCCCTCATCCTTAAAATAACTAGATAAATATCCCCCATTCCTTCTTCAGGTCTGTCCAGCTTTTCAGAAGGCAGTGGGAATCCGGTCCTCATAACTTGGAGGCCAGCTCAGCTGCGCTTGGGTGTCAGACCCTGAAGCGTGGCTGCTCACACACCAGATGGTCAGGTCCTGCCTAGATCACAGCCAGGCAGGCCAGGACCGTGGGACAGGTGGCCGAGAGCCAGGGAAGACACCTGGAGGTGAGGGATTGGACCTGAGGTTGTGGAGAACGCTCGCTCCCGGGAGCCCAGTGGGAGTGGCTGGGAAGCTGCACTCTGAAGCCTCAGGACTCGGCCCTGGCCGCTGGTTGCAAAGCACACCCCTCCCCAGTGCTCTGCTCTGCCGTCCCTCCCCCTCCCGCGGGGAGTGGGCTGAGGACCCAGCTGCAGAAGCAGCAGCACTGAAAGTTTGCTTTTTCTGCGTGTGACTAACGTGGTGGGCGCAGTTGTGCTGCCAGAGGCAGCTCCCACAGAGGGCGCCAGTCTGCCTGCCTGTGGCGCACCGGAGGGGGTCAGCGTCCTTCCAGACGGTATCTGGACACCGGCTCTGGGTCTGCACTTGCTGGACTCCTGACTTGGGCGGGTTCCTGTGATTGGAGCGGGTGTTTCAGGGATGTGGTGTTGTGTAGGTTTTTGCCCTGCCGGGGATGGAACCCAGGGTGTTCAACACTGAGCTCACCCAGTCCTTGTAGGTTTGCTTCTAAAGTCTCGCTAAGTTACCAGGCTGGTCTGGAACTGGTGACCTCCTACTTCAGCCTCCTGTGTGGCTCTGACTACAGGCGTGACCCACACCCAGCCAGTCCTGTATTAAAGGACAGCGTGGGTCAGAGCATCAGGACTTGAGCTGGGCCTGCTCTCCCTTCCAGTGCAGCGGGGCAGAGGCTGCTCTGCTTTCCTTGAAGCTGTAAACGGCCCAGAGCTTGGGTGCGAATTTCAGAGTTCAGCCACCACGGTCTCAGCAGCCTGGCTCACGGAGGATCCACCACCACCCTGAATAAGGAGGGGAAAGCGTGACCATGTAGGAAATGAGAGGCCCAGACAGTGTCCACCTGCAGCTGTGGCATGAGGGTGACCTGTGATAACCCTGGCTTGTCACAGGACAGTGTCCACCTGCAGCAATGGTGGTGAGGGTCCCCATGCACACCCTCACTCATCATGTGGCACTGGTGTTGTGAACTCAGAATGGTTGTCACTCGGTGACACAGTGACCTGCACTCACTGCAGACTGCCACGGGATGGGGCAGGATTCGGGTGCAAGGCCACCCCGGGATGGCAGAGGCTGGTCTGCTGCGTTTCCCTGTGGGTGCTGGTGCGCAGGTCCTGGCCGTGTGGCACTTCAGGGAGCTGGCAGAGGCTGGCCAGGTGTGGCCTGGGAGCCGGGCTGTACACCATGGAGCATGGGTGTGTCCTGTGGCCCTGCAGGGAGTGGAGGGAAGGGCCAAGGCCCACTGCCCACCAGGTGGCCGCCAAGCCCTGGGCCTGGCGTTAAGTGCCTCTAGACGTCGATGTGCAGAAGGAAAGACTTACTGACGGGTGTGGCCACCACGCTGCACGGTGTGGATCCACCTTACACACCTGAGCCCTGCCTGTCGCACCAACCTGCTCCTGGCCGAGTTGGCTGTCTGCATGCCCAGCCAGCAGGCCGTGCCACATCTCCTTGGTGCACTTCTGCCCCCACTGGCCCCTCTGCACCTTGGGTACATTCTTGCATCACAGTCCTGTCTGCATCAGTGCGCAGGAGTTTTAAAACTGAGTTTTTCCATATTGTAAAAATCCCTCGACAGGATGGCTTTAGTACTGCACAGACTTCTCTTAGGAACACGTAGTAAGTGATCAACAAAACCATCCCCAGCTTTCACCGTTTTACTGGTTCCTCTTGCCCCATCATGTTCCAGAAACGCACATGCTGTTTTCTCTCCCAGCCTTGGAGAGCATATGCTGGTAGGAGGCCAAGTGGTGGACGTCCTGCACCCCTTCCACCTTGGTGTCGCCTGGCTGAGCCCCCACTCCGGAGCACCTAGCTTGCTGGAAGACCTGCCAGTGGGGCAGGGCGGGACCCCAACCCTGTGGGACTGTGGCTGACGAGGGGGGGCCGCCAGTGATGTGCGCACACAGGAGACTCCACTGAGGGCACAGTAAGAGGGCGCCCTCTGTCGGCCAGGAAGGGCTGAGGAGAGCCCAGCCCAGTCTGCCTCAGACTTCAGCCTGCAGAACTTGAGAGCGTGTGCTCCGGGGTTGAAGCCACCCTGTTGCTGTGTTGGTTACTGCAGCCCACGCTGGCCAAGATGCCTGTGTCCACTCAGCTCCCTGCCTCCCGGCTCCTGGCTCTCTTTTGAGATGTCCTGTGCTGTCATCCTATGCACCACCTGGAGCTAAAGGACACAGGGGCACTGCCTGTTCATCTAGGAGGAATGTGTGACGTGTGCACCTGCCCTGAGCGCTGCAGTGAGACCCTGCAGTCTTCCAGCACAGGCTGCAGGATGGGGCTCAGCTGGGCGGGGCCTGGTGAGGGGGTGCATCCCTCTGCCTTCCAGCTTAGGCCAGGTGCTGCAGAAGGGGTCTCAGCTGGGTGCACCCAAGGAATTGGGGTGTGGGGCGTAGCTACAGTCCTCCCAGCACAGGTCAGTCCTCCGGAAATGGGGCTTAGCAGGGCTGTGCCCAGGTCATGGGCACCTTGTGTCCTCATTAACATTGGTCACCTCTTAAAAGCCCTTCTACTCAAATACACTCATGTGGCAGTTGGGCTTCAATACACGAGTTTTGTGGGGACAGTTTGGTTCACGACACTAGGTGGATAG